CACACACACACACACACACACACACACACACACACACACAGTATAGAAAAGAATCACCCCCTTTAAAATAATCACATTTTGTTGCTTTTCAGCCTGAAATGAAGATGGACGCAGTTTTTGTTTTATCCAGCTGTATTTACTCAGTGCAACTTATAACATCCAAGTAAAAGATATAAAACATCAAGATGTCAGAAAAAATTAATAAAAACCAGAATCACTGAGTTGGAAAAAGGATCAACCGCTTGTGTCAGTATTTTGTCGAAGCACCTTTTGCTTTAATTACAGCCTTTAGTCTGTTGGGATTTGTCTCTACTAACTTTGCACACCTAGACTTTGCTATATTTGCCCGCTCTTCTTTGAACAGAACTGCTCAAGTTCAGTTAAATGTGATGGTGAGTGTTTGTGGACTGCAGTCTTCAAGTCATTCCACAGATTTTCAGTGGGGTTTAAGTCTGGAATCTGACGAGGCCATGCAAGACATTCACCTTTTTCTCCTTCAACCTCTGTGTTGAGGCCAAATAATTCAGTTTTAGTCTCATCTGCCTCAGAATCTTTAAGGTGTGTTTTGGCAAAACTCAGTCGTGAGTCTCGTGACTGCATGTGGTCTTTCTTGAGGAGTGGCTTTTTCTTCAACCCTCCCATACAAGCCACATTTGTAGAGAATATATTGTTGATATTGTTGTCACGTGCACATAATGACCACTCTTTGTCATAAATTCCTGCAGCTGCTTCAGAGTTGCTGTAGCTCTTGCTCGCCTCTCTGAGCAGTTTCCTCCGGCTCTTTCATCCAGTTGGGTTATCCTTTTTACAACTCTGTTTTTAATATTTTTTTCTGACATGTTGGTGTTTTATCTTTCACTTGGATGTTATAAGTTGCACTGAGTAAATACAGCTGGATAAAACAAAAAACTGTGTCCGTCTTCATTTCAGGCTGAAAAGCAACACAATGTGATTATTTTAAAGGGGGTGACTCTTTTCTATACCCACTGTATGTGGTTTACTTCTTGCCACATAGTACTCTACACCATCTCTCCAGTGTCTAGACGCCATCAACGGTAATTATCTCTCACTATCCCTTAAACACTCAACCAGATTCTATGTGTGCACAGTCACATACACACACACACACACACACACACACACACACACACGCAGGCCATTACACACAAAGACATTACGGAGATGGGTGCGACACTTATTTGGGGAGAGTTGTGCACACAATGCAGTGACAACACATGCTGATACTGAAAATGTGTTTGTCTGTTCGTCACTGTACGCTTTGTGTGTTTTTGCCTAATGTTCTAGGATCAAGAGAGTGTGTGTTGTTGCCACTGTGTTCACGAGATGTGGAGTGTAAGATGTAAAGCTTTAAATCTTCTTACTTGTACAGCAAGGCAAAGCCTGGCCACGTTCAAAACAACACACACACTGGCATACGGGCGATTACGCCAGTCAGTCTCATTCAGATTCCCACACACAGGTTATATTTGTAGCTTTTAGTTTCTGTTAGCACTGAGGTCATCTGTATGCTAGTGTACTCCAAATAGATGATGAAATTAACCTTTAACACATTTATGCAATAAAGTGCACGCTCAATACAATTAAGCGCAACTTCGCACTTAACTAGGCAGATTTTGGTTCAATAAAATGCTCTTTCTCCAACACCACATGCTTACTGTCTACGGTATATCAACCTGAAATATACAGCTTATTAACGTAATTTGAGGGAAATAAACATTCATCATACCATTCATTCATGTCAGATTTTATTGCTGATTTGAAATGTTATAGAAAAGTGTACTTGTGTTGTACTTTTTGTTTTGTACCTGACTATACTTTCCGTCTGTCTGTAGCCCATGATGAAGCAGTCGCCGTGGGGCAGCCATCAGGGCAGCGGCTGGACCTCTGGAGGGGTGTCCTGGGGCAGAGACCATCGGCGCGGGGGCGGCATGGGTGTGCCCGGCTCAGTCAACCAGATTTCTCCCATGAAGAAACCCTTCTCCAGCAACGTCATCGCCCCGCCCAAGTTTCCCCGCTCCGCCGGCTCTCTGGGACCTAAATCCTGGATCGAAGAAAACATGTACCGTACCGACAACAACAGCAACACGCTGCTGCCGCTGCAGGTATGTGTGGGCGCTGGGATGAGGATTGAGGTATTTGGGTAGGGATGGGAGGCCCATGCAGCAGGGTCCATGCTATTATTTAATTGCTGATCAGTATGCATCTGCATCGGACGTGTTGTGTGTGTGTACACAATCACTCACTCACTCTGTGCGTGGTTGTTGAGCTTCACTGTTGATCAAGAGGCCGTTCAGGACCTTCTACAGGATCTGAAGACAAAGATGACTCACAGTGAGGTCATCAAGGGTTTCGGCGGTTTCATCCTGAAGGAACCTGTCCTCTCCCTTCATTATTGTTTGGCTCGGGCGGTTTCTCACAGTCTGAACTCAGTGGCCATCAACCTGTGTTTATTGATTTTCTAAGATCTCCTGGCACTGGGATGGTGAGGTATATATTTGCTCTGAAATGGGTTTAAAAATATAAAAATGTATGTATGCACTACCCATTCAAAAGTTTGGGCTAGGTATGATTTTTTTTTTCTTTTTCTGAAATAAATGTATACTTTTATTCAGCAAGGATGCATTAAATTGATCAAAAGTGACAGTAAACACATTTAGGGTACAACATATTTATATTTTATATAAATGCTGTTCTTTTGACCTTTCTATCAACTTTCATGAAATATTGCTGAAAAAAAAAATAATATATATATATACATATATATATACACACATATATATATCACAGTTTTCCCAAAAATATGAAGCAGCACAACTGTTTTAAACATTGATAATGATAATCAGAAATGTTTCTTGAGCAGCAAATCAGCATATCAGAATGATTTCTGAAGATCATGTGACACTGAAGACTGGAGTAATGATGCTGAAAATTCAGCTTTGATCACAGGAATAAATTACATTTTAACAGATATTCACATAGAAAACAGTTATGTTAAATTGCAATAAAACAGTTTTATTGTTTGGTCAAATAAATGCAGTCTTGATGAGCATAAGAGATTTTTTTCAAATCTTACCGACCCCAAACTTTTGAACAGTAGTGTATATATTGGTGGAACAATCATTTCAGCCAAACTACTGTAGCAATTTAAAAGTACAGTTTTTAAAAAGTTTAATGCAAGAAGTAAAATACATAAAACTCATACATAAATACATTTCAAATCTTACCGACCCCAAACTTTTGAACAGTAGTGTATATATTGGTGGAACAATCATTTCAGCCAAACTACTGTAGCAATTTAAAAGTACAGTTTTTAAAAAGTTTAATGCAAGAAGTAAAATACATAAAACTCTAGCTAAAAATAATCCAGGAATGTTTTTTTTTTACATGTAAATTGTGACACTTCTGTGAACATTTTTGAGTGATGATGCCAACAAACCATTCAGTTCTTCTGAAGTGATTATTTGAATCAACAGTTTGAACCATTTTTGCTACTAAAATTGAAATGAAAATAGCCAAGATAATGTAAGTACACAAGTCAGCAAAATATATAACACTGTTCTAGTGGTTTTTGGCTATTTTAATAAAACAATCGTACATATTGTGCCTTTAAAATACTCTCACTATCATAAGTCGCAAAATGATGGTCAAATAAATGAAAATAAATTGCGATATTCACAATGTTTTATATTAACACAAAAAAAAAAAAAAAGATCTCAAATATCTAGTAAATAATATTCAATATATTGCTTACATTTTAGATCATGAGAGTCTGAAAGTTTCTCACTTCCAAGCTGAATGTGAGAAACTGTGTGGGTGTGAGAGGCTGACAGAGAAAGGAGGCAAGAGTAACACATTTTTGTCAGTGTTTTGGAGATGGAATGAAACAGCAGGTCATTTACACGTGAATCACTGAAGTGTACGAGGAAACTCCCCGCCTGTGGCACCTGTAGCTGGCTGTTCATCCTCTCGCTTCAGCTTTAAACCTCCACTGCTATTGTTACTTTTCATGTTAGTATCGACATGGTACCATATACTGGTACTTTTAGCGACAGTAGAGAGTAAGGATGGCAAATCTTATCCAGGCCCTGTGTGCTAATGGCTATAGATCCCCATAGATAATCTTGGGTTAAACCTGCTTTGTTTTGACCTGCGTTGCCTTTCTGTCGTCAAGAGCTGTGGTTGGCAATATTGGTATGGCAAGTTTCTCAAGTACAAAATGACATTGTTTGTTTGTACTTCATTTTGGAGCAGATCAGTGTTTGGCACGTCACAGCTAATTCCTTTAATGCCAAGCCTAACAGAACTGAAACGAGGAACCTGAGATGCATGCGGTCTGGTCTTCATCACTTTCTTTTCTCCTCTCTCAGGAAACAGGTCTGACTCTACTAGTGTCTACTGCATTGTTCATTTCCTTAAACAGGGTTCCGTTTGGAATTCCTCACATTCCACAGCCTCTCCTCTCTCCTCCTGTCCTCTCCTTCCTTCTCTGCGTTCCAGAGATCAAATGTGTCATGTTCTGACAAGAGAAACAAGACAGAGGAAGGAGGAAAGGACAGAGATACAATGTTGTTACAAAGAGTTCATTCAATCTCACAAGAAATGTTTTGAACTTTCTGATTCGGATGTGAATGAGAGTGTTGTAGTCGAGATGTGTTTGAATCAATGCCGAGACCAGCACAGGGTGGAATCCGACTCCACATGCTCCTGAGTTCATGAAAATATGGAGACTGAGTCCAAGACCCTATTTTCATGGTCTTGGTCTTTTAAAGAACTCAGGAACATGTGGCCTCAGTCTTGAACCAGACTGGTTTTGACTATAATGAAAACCTCTTTGAAATGGAGGAACAAGAGGTTATAAAAAGGTGAGCTTATAAATGTTTTAATAAACATTTCGGATTTGGTATTGAATGGTAGCATAAACCCCAAACTCTCGGATCAAGAGTCTTCAGGCCTCGTGTTCTTCACTGGAGGACTGAGCTGCTTTTCAGACACTATTTCTGGCAATGTTGCTGCTAAAACTATATTTAGCTTCTTGCAGCCTTGCGCTGTCTGTAAGCTCCGCTGTGAGGGCCTGTGAATACGACTGGATGCTGAAAGCGGCACAGGAATGATATAAGCTCCTGCTTTAACTGTGGGAGGCAGATGGCCGTGACAGGGCCAATTGGAAGCATCTGCGTTTGATGCGGTCAACACTTGCTCCCTTTGTGCTTTGCAAACGGCGTCCATCATAAGTATACATTTATATGTAAGCAAGGCGATAGCTGTAGCACATATTAGACTGTAGCCTATAAACCTCATGTAGCTCATGTAGTTTTCAGCGCTGCACTCGTCGTCTTCTGTCTTCCGTTAGTATTTCCACAGCGTAAAGGTAAAGGCGTACAAATTTATGAATGAACTGCTCGTTTTAAAATCTACTGACATTTGTTATGACATCTGCCTCGAATATTAAATAACTTTCGTTAACTCTACAATAAGTGAATCCACTTCACCACCAGCTGATTACTCTTCAACAGTGATGTAGAGTCACCGCAGTAACAGAAGTTCAAAGACAGAATTATAAAGATGGCTGCGTGCTTGTTTTTTTCTTTTCTTTTCTTTTTTTAATGTGAAGTATATATATATATATATAACCTTTTTCCACTCTAAAGAATATTTTCAGCAATGTAAATATTTCATGGATTTTAAAGGTTCTGTTACGGGGCTGACGAGACGTGAGACGTGCGGATCCAAATGCAAAGCTTTATTAATAGACATGGTAGAGACAGGCAAGGGTCAGATAATGGCAACAGGTATGTAGAAGGCAAGACACAAGAATATATCCTAGGGCTAGCGTGGGTCTCCGATCGGCAAACAGGATCAATAGGGCGAGAAGGTTCTACAGTAGGACCATCAGGAAATAGGGAGAGTTCATTAACGGTTCCCTCGACGATGACATGACAGGCTGCGAGTGTCTTGCTGGGTGCTACCACCGTACAAGGAGTTGAAGCGAGCGCCGCCGCCTCAGGAGGTTCTGCAGCATCA